TAGAGTATTAAGGTTTTGTTTTGTCTCAAATGATAAAGAGTAGGCGCGCGACGCGCGCCGATTTGGTTCTAGTATTTATTATTTCCTCTCATAAATCCGTCCCTGCTTTCTCTCTTATTCGCAGCCACGCGAAGCCTGAATCGAGTTGTCAGAGTTGAATTTTAATGCACTAATCGGTCGCAACACGGCTTCACATTTTCAATGATAAATCGATGACGGATTAACATTTTTTAACTTTCGAAGGCTTATTTTAAAGCTGAAATTCTAACGAAGATTTATGTGTTTTAAAAAAATTTTATCTAAATTTTTCTAGATTTTTGAAAAAGTGTTTGTCAAAAGACTGAAATAAAAAATTTGATAATTTTTTTTACTTCTTCCTCACTCTACAACTCAAAAAATAGTTAACGAAATGACTTGAAAGACGGCTTATCTTACGCAGAATTTAATAAGCTTTCTAACCGTATTTAAGTTTTTTTGTATCTCCATTTATTTCCGAGATATGATTGAAAAAGTGATGGCATGTTTTTTCATAGAATCGCGTGTAATCGTCCTGATACCCGTGGACGGTAGTGTATATAATTTTCGGAAATTGATTTTTTCTCCTATTCGCTGTGTTTTCTATTCAAGTGTTTCTTAAATGCGTGAGAATGTTGGAATTCGAAATAAATAAATAAATTTTGAAATACAATCTCCTTGCTTACATACGTATCTATTTTGCAATTACGAGTAATGGTTTAATTGTAAGTGACGCACGTGTAAGTTTGGAGTATTTAATTTGTGAACTGCTTTTAGAATGTTTTTAATCTTGTATTTTATTTTGTTCACAAGATAAATGGTATAAATTCTTGATAGATTTTCACCGATGACCACAATTACTGGATAAAATTGAATTTCCTATCGTGCGTGCAGATTTCTGAATTCATTAAGTTTGTTTTCCAAATCTCCTGGAATCTAGACAAGAGTCATTTTACGTGAAATATCCTAAGTTGAAATTTCAACTTCTTGAAAAAATTGAAACTTGAGGAATTTGTTGTTCTATCAAGTAAAAATGTGACCCAAAAACACTTTTGACTTTTTCGAAAATTTTTAGGGGGTAGAGGGGTGTCAAATTTTACTAATTTTGCTAACACCGTCTACTTATTCAATTTTTTCTGTACATACTTGAAATGGGAAAAATTTTGTAGAATATGTTTCTGAAAGGTTTTTCATGCTCTTTCGAATGGTAAATTTATTTTTCAATATGTTACAAACCAGAAATAAATTTATAACTTAGGCTTTTAAGATGGCTCTTTATCTCGACTTGGGGAGGCACCAAGCTGCCAGAATGTTTAATTATTCTGTTTAATTTTGTGGGGACGTTATCCTACTTTTAAAAGTTACCTTCTGATTCATTAAATGCACTATTTTTGAAATGATTTTGAATTTTAGGTTTAGTTAGGTAAGTAAAGAAATTGATTTTATGAATACATGATTTATTTTTAAATAGCAAAATACCTTTTGAATACAAAATGGTTATAGTGTGTTACAAATAGAAAGTGTATGTGTGTTAGAATATGTGATTGAAACGATACTTATTTACTTACAAACTACAGGCGGAGCTATTCCTCTTTCGAATCACAAAACATCCGTCGGGCGAAAATTCTTTTGCTTTTGTTTTTACTGAAAATCGCGGCGTCTGATTCGCGCAATTTTCTTTTGGTTGCGAGATTGCACTTGTGGTGAGTGGACGCGGGCAATATCTATTCAACCGGCCGTCTCACACAACTGTGTAAAACTCACTGCGGATCTACCTTTTACCGAATTAGTCCGGGCAATATCTAATAATTCGATAATTGGTTTTGATCGCGCTCGTGGGCCACCGATATTTGAGACGGACGCGGGCAATATCTATGCAACTGGCTAGTTATAAATAACAAGATTCTAGAATTATTAATTATATTAATAATTCCAAAATCTCTCAAAAATCAGCCCGCACTGGACTCCACCGGCTCAGAGAATTTGAAAATTTTAACGTCTGCCCTAATTCATGCAAATCGGGTTCCGGGTCGCGGACGGGCTTTTTTGTCGCGAAAATTCTCTGTCCCAAAACACTTGCTAGGTTAGACCCAGGAGAGGTGTCTTCGAGAAGAAGCGAGAATTCGTACTGCAATGATTGAAATTTTGCGACAAGCCTCTAACCCTTGCCTTCTTTGCCAAGGTGGGGAAAACAAAAATTTAGGAGTAGGGAAAACTCATGGGCCCATTGGACGTTGCATTTTTGCTGACGTTTTAGATCTCACGGTAGCTCCGTGAGAACGGAAATAGACTGTTAATATGATATTTTTCGACACCTTATTTCAAAATAACTAAGAAATAAATAATAATTATATTATTTTAATTAATAAAATTATTAATCGTCTTTGTTATACTGGTAAATATAATTTATTTTGTTGTAATTATATTAGTCCTACATGATATAAGTTACTTGTATATGTGTTTTGCATTTCGCATAGTTATACATATACACATATACATGTAATTTAATGTCCTCCGGCATTTTGTTGTTAACCAAAGTTACAACAAAATGTTTATCTATTGTCGAATTACTATTTCATTGATTTGGAATTGTGCATAAATCAAAATAAAATATGTACGCATCATAAAGCGTTTTGTCAGCTGACAATGCATGTGAATTAGTTATACTATTCTAGTCCGTAAGATTGTGGGCCCAAAGGGGAAAAGGGAGGGTTTCCATATGATAGATAAGGCAACGAGAAGAGGCATGTATAGCGAGCTTGTATATGTGACCGTAACACAAGGAATCTATGGTTGTATTAGTTCTCGTAGTCAGCGGAGTCAGTGGATGCCATACATTTAATTATTTCTCAAATGGAATTATATTTTGCTTTTTAAATTATAAAATATGTGTACTGTATAAATTTTAAAACAGAAATAGAGCATTCATATTGGTTATAAATTTGTGAGCAATTTATATACAATATAATGTAATATGAAAAGAATACGCATTTAGACAAATTTCTGTCTGAACTTCTGTAGCGATAATAAGATATTAATAAAGAAATAGCTGTTAGGTACTTTGTACGTAACAATCCACCATGGAAATTTTCCGTTTTCGTCCCCGAAAACTTTTCGCTTAAGAAGACAAGGCAAAAATTTTCCGAACACGTATACCTTACGTTTCTGTTTTAAATAAAACAAGTTAAGAATGGTCATTTTCCGTGAATAAAAATTTTGTTTTTTTTGTTTTGCATTTCGCATCGGTAGGATTAGGTTTTTAGCTATTCTAAATTTTTATATTCGTTCACTCGATTCATTCGTATAATTGGCATAATAATAACATACATACTTTTTTTTAACTGAAAAACATAATTTTCTATTTTGAATTATAAATTATTTGATAGCGCTACCTATTGTTTATTAATTTCTAATTTAACTTGGAACAACAATTAGAGAAGGAATCGCTGTTTTAATTTATAAAAATCACAACTTCAAGTATTCAAAATAGCAGTTTACTCTTTAATAGTTTAGACAAGAACAAATTAAACTGTTCTTGAAATTATGATTTTGTTGATTTAATCGTTGATATAATTGAAAATTCAAATCTGTCTTCAAATGGCTGTATGTATAGGAAAACTATTTTAACTTTACTTTATAGATTTAAAAGATTTTATTTAGAAAGTTTTACCTTTTTTTCAATTATGGAAAATTCCATTTTCTTTACACATTGAATTCCCAATAATATATTTACCTGTTGCAAAATATATGTAATTAATCCTTCAATCTTAACGTTAAACTTTAATTAATCATTCTACTCATATTTTAATTATACAAAATAAAATTGAAAGTTTATATACATAATGTTTCTTTTCTTTCTCGCTGTAACAGATTTTTTTTTTAAAATAAGTAATAAAATTATTTTTTTAATTTTTTAAATCGAAGTTTCTGATATCGGGAACAACCTTATCATGGCGGATCATGTTGCATCGCACATTTTCTAAACAAAATGATCCCTCATGATTTAAGTTTAATTGTTTTTTAAGTATTTGTGCTGTTTATAAATGTGACAGGGTTACATACAAATTTTGTACTATGTGTCTATTGATAGGTAGAAAATAGACTACAGTTGATACATTAACTCAATACAATTTACATCAATTTTGATTGTGGATGTTTAACCAAAAGTTGTCTTGTTTTATATTAAATTTCTAAACTAATACCTATAGTTATTTTAAATATTCATCTGATTCAAGTTAAAAGTGAATTTAAATTTGACATAAATTAAAGCCGAAATAAGCTGATCTCCAAACAAAACAACTTTTAGCTTAAGTGATATTGTACAATGTTACAGACGCAAATCTTTTTGTCAATGTTAAACAGGTGCATGAACAATGATATCAACGTTGACAATTATTTCATAAGAATATGATGTTTCCATAATCTGAATGGAGGGGTTTTCTTATTCTGCTTATCAGTTGTTGGTGGATTAATTAATGGTTGTAGTGATGATTAATGATAGGTTGATTCGGACTGTTTTCCTTTTTTTGAAGAACGAATGATTCATCGATAATTATGAAAAAAACTGGATTTTAATATCTAAATAACATAAGAAAATTATAATATGATTATATTATACTTATTGAATTAATTAAATTATTTAAATTAATTAATTAATTAATTTAATTTTAATTATTGAAACTATTATATAAATTTATCAAAACATAAAATAAAAGTTTATTAGTAGTAGAGTAAGAATTTACTTACAAGTAGTGTGACACGGCTATTTTAGCCGTACACAAAATAATAACTTAGTTAATAGATTAAAAAGAAAAATAACACCAGAACGGGAATCGAACCGTTTGGTTCCCTTTTATTTTATTTTATTTATTATTAATTTTGTAAAAATAAACACTGATAATTACCTAAATTTCATTACTTCGACAAATTAATAAATATACTATCATTTATCTGAGAACTCGTCAAATCAACGTTCAAAATAAATATATTAACCTCGGCGTGTAACCAATTACCGACGGTGGAATGACTGTATCGACGAGTGATAATTAACCAACGAAATTTAGCATAGTAACTCCACTGGAACTCACCGTTGAAAATAAGAAAACGAAGCGCGGAAGTTGCGACGCGTTCGTAGCTTGCGAGTCGGCCATTTTTGTAAATTCATTCTCGTTCTGGCTGTCATAAAGTTTACGTCACGACCGTGACTTTTTGCTAAAATATAAAAAAACTAACAGTAGTTGTGCTGACGATGAGTCGGGGAACCATCCGAGGGAGACGTCGACTTGACGGTGAGTCCCCTGTGTATTAAAATCGGCTGTTCCTCGGTCAGTCTCGAGTAAAATTCATAAATAATAATATTGAAAATTCGACTCTTGTTTAGGCGGCTTGCCGCCGACTAATGTTCGCAATTTGTGGTTGATTAAATAAAATAATCCTTGTCAATTTTGTTAATTTGGTGTTGTTCAGTGATCATCCTTACTTCCCCCCTCTCCGCGGTTATGGATAATTTAATTAATGAGCAGTCGGTTTAGTAAAGAAAATCTTTAGGTTTGGTCATTCCATGTCAAAATGACCTGGCGCCTTGGACATAAACCACACTTCATGAATAATAAAAATTGTTAACAGGCTTTCGAGTAATTTAACTTACTCTATTTATTTCCAAAAGGAATGAAATAATTCCAATTTAATTATTAATTAGATCAAAATTTAAAATTAATTCAAATATCAAAACAAAACCTGTTACAAATGGCGCCCAACGTGGGGCGCGATGATCACTGAAAAAAAAAAATTTTATTGAATAAACAAGACTCGAATTTAAAAAGTATTTAATGAATAAAAATGGAAAATAAAAATTTTGTGTAAGTCCGAGATTTTAAAATGAGTGCAATCTTGAAAATAAAGTTGGAATCATGTCCAGGATTCGAACTTCAAATCGAAAAATATAAACGTGCCATAACGAGTTTTAAGTAAAATTAGAGAGCATAGGTCATTGACCTGACTATGACGTCATAATGAATTCTCGGGTTTACACTGTTCAGCATTACTGAGAATCAAATTAATAGAATAAAAATTCGATAACTGGTAAAATCAAAATAATGATAAGCAATAACATTTTGACTTAGAATATTATTGTTAAAAAAAAAAAAAAAAAAAATTTGAATAATAATATTAGTGAAAAATAAAATATCAATTGTGGGCGGATACGTCGCCATCTCTATTAAATATTCATTGAACTGAGCAAATTAATTTTGATTATTTTTACCTAAATTGATAATAATTGAAAAAAAAAAAAAAAAAATTAATTATTTTTCTTAAAATCCTAAAATAAATAATTGGTTATAGTGAAGAATTTTCTTAAATCAGATTGATGATTGTGGATCAATAAAAATAAATTTGTGATTCAAAATTTTTACCTATCTCTCCCTTCCAAACAATAAAATTTCAGTGAATTAAAATAATTTTTTTTAATTCGTCAAAATGAAAAAAATTGTGTTAGAACGATCAAGTCAAATGAATTCACCGATAGTAGCGGTTAACCCTTTTGAAAATTGGTCGAAAGACCAATTAAAAATTCACTTAGATTCGCATAAAGTAAATATTTCGGGTAAATTATCAGTCTTAAAAGATCGAGCGTGGCGTTTCCAACGTTTTGCCTCGGGCGATCGTACTGTGGAGTGGCTTGCTTCGGACGAAATCCAATTCGAATTAAATGATTCTGAGTCGGAATCGACTCAAGATTCGTGTTCCATCATTTTAGATAAGATGCGCGAACTAATTAATATCCCGGTGTCCTCCGAAAGTAATTTTCACTCACCATCCGCCTCGGCGTTAACCTCACATAGCGCAAATCATTGTGAAGTGTCGTTGGGATCGACAGTCGCGAATTCGACCTCTTTCACGCGACCAACTGATTACAGGGACTCTCAGAGGCTCACACCTCAGAATAACCCATTCTTGGACCAATCTCAACTTACGAAACCGAGTAGAATGACTACTGCAGTACAGAAATCGGAATTTGACTTGTCCCTACCGACATATTATAGAAATTTAGTAATAGGCGCGAGCCAGATGGGCAACGATCTCAGTCGACCTGGATTGTCAGGGAATACAATGGTTCCCTTAACGACTTGTTTCACAGACTGGTCTAGGCCCCAGCCTCCCGTTATCGAAATAAATAATACTCGTAATGAGGCAACTGTAAGTCCTCGTGGATATTATCCCAATGTCAGTCAACCCGATGTTGAACAGGGTGCTTTCCGTTTCCTGGCCAACTTTTATGGTCGTCCAGAGCCGGCGCAAGCATGGCCCAGGCCTGACTTAACCTTAAAACGACTTCCAACTGAAATTCCAGGTAAAACCGCAGAAACTTCGATTGATTTAGGTTTAAATAATTGTGAAAATCGTTATTCCTTTAAACCGATAAATTGCCAACGCTCAGCCGACGCTGATATTGCCAATCACTGGTCCCAACCTGTCAATACAAATTTACCGAATAAAGATTCGAATGATAGAGAAATTAATAACCCAACTAGTCACCACATGAGTAAACAACAGTTGTTTGCCCCTTACAGTAAACCTTTAGATTCAATCGTGCGTAAGTGGGGAATTAAATTCACGGGCGACAAAACTTCTAGTGTCGATGACTTTTTCGCGCGGGTGGAAGACAATATGGAGATTTCTTCTCTACATGGCAAAGATGTTCTTCGAGCAGCACCCTTAATCCTTGACGGTTTGGCTTTACAATGGTTTAGGTTAAATAAACTGCATTTACTCTCGTGGGATCAATTCAAGGCCGAATGTCGTGCGTATTTCGGCGATCGCAATTACCAATGGCGACTTGAGGAACAAGTTACCGGTCGAATACAAGGACCCGAAGAGTCAACTGCGAATTTTATTATTTGCATGCAAGGTCTGTATTCGAAATATACAAGACCTATCACGCGAACTGAAATACTCGACCGTGTTTATATGAATCTTAGGTCGAAACTAAAAATGTCAATCCAGCGTAGCCAGTTTAACACCCTTGAAGAATTGGCTGTGCTCGCGTCAGATGTTGAGAGAATGCTAGATTCTCTCAAAGTTACAAAACCCCTCATAAAGCCGGAAGACTCATTCTTCCCTGAATTTGCATATGGCGGTAAAATAGAAAGTAAATCGGCTTCTAATAAAAATAAATCAGAAGCTGAGCCCTCGGACGATAAAATTTCACAAATTCTTAACATATTGGTGGAAAAAATTGAAAAGTTGTCGAGAGACCACAAAAGTACTCCATCAAATGCGAATTCGAATAAATCAAGTAATTCAGGCAATAAATCGGTTTCAAACGATAAAAATTCGGTTAAAAAGAAAGAGTTAGCTAGTGAATCATCTTCTAAAAACAGTAGACCTAAACGAGAAAAATTTCGTGAGCCTAAAAATCAACCACCGTGTTTTAACTGCGGCGAATCAGATCACGAGTGGAAGCAATGTAAAATCACTTGGGTAAAGTTTTGCCACATCTGTGGTAATCACGGCTTTACGAAATACGACTGCAACTCTGACTACTGTCAGGGAAACTAAAAGAGGAGAGCAGCCCTAGGGTCGATGCTTCTCCTCTTTCGTTAAATATGGCCCTCAAAACTTGTCACTCGGATGTGAGTAAATTAACCAGATTAAATTCAAATTCGAAACCAGGAAACGCTAAATCAATTAATAAAAAATTAAATCAATACATTAAATCAATACAATTGCCTGATTCAAGTTCTCTAATTAATCATTCAAATAATAAAATTGAAACAGATTGTACCGTTTTAATAAAATTAACTGATGGGTTTTTAGATGAGCCAATAAAAATTAACTCCGTGTCTATTGTAAATGACTCTCAATTAACTAGTAATGTTCCTGATGATTTAAATGAAGATCAGAAGGAACGTAATCTTCACTTCAAACCGGATTTGGATCCTATAATGGCATCCGAATCCAAAATTAACCTCGATCAATTATGTGGAATCGGTTCGAAATCGAGACCATATATTAATGTGCTGGTGGGTAACACCGAAGTACATGCCTTAGTAGACACTGGCTCATCTCGGACCTATTTAAACTCAATTGGACAATCAATAGTAGAAGCAAGTAAAACTAAGATAAATAAACTTGAATCCGGTAATGTAATGTTAGCGAACGGTTCGATCGAATCAATCGTTGGTGAAGTAACTTTACCGATTACTCTGGCAGGAATTTCTCGTGAAATGACTATTCGAATAGTACCAGAATTGACGGATGAATGCGTGTTAGGTATAGATTTTATGGAGAGATTCGGGATAGTAATCGATACGAGCATTCGGAGACTCTGGATGACAGAAAGACCAATCATTAGGATTGAGTTTGTTAAACCGGGAAGTAAGATCAATATTAATACATGTGCGGGTATCGCACTACTCTCTGAAAAGAAACGTGAAGAAATCGAATTGTTAGTTCAACAAAAAATACCCCCCCTTTCCGAAAATCTTCCTGCAATTTCATTAGTCGAGCATGTAATAAATACCGAGAATCACCCGCCTATCCGACAAAAGAACCATAGAATGTCCCCTAAAGTATGCGAATATTTAATAACAAATTCTGGGAAACTTGAAAAACAGGGAATTATCGAGCCGTCAAATGGTGACTGGTGTAATCCGGTCTGCATGGTGAAACAACCAGATGGCACTTATCGTCAGTGTCTGGATGTCCGGAAAGTCAATAGCGTCACAGTTAAAGATGCTTATCCTATCCCATTTATGGCTGAAATACTCGATACCCTGAATTCGGCCCATTATATCTCGAAGATAGATTTAAAGTTAGCTTACCATCAAATTCCTCTCAGTGCGGAAAGCAAACCTAAAACCGCTTTTGTAGTACCGGGAAAGGGGCTAATGCAATACACGCGAATGCCATTCGGACTTTGCGGGGCCCCAGCCACCTTCCAGCGGCTAATGGATAGAGTAATCACAGCAGACTTGAAACCAAATGTATTCGCCTACTTGGACGATATCATTGTCGTCACCAAGACATTCAGGGAACACGTAAACCTTCTTAAACATGTTCTTTCACTCCTTATCGAAAAAGGCTTTACAATCAGTCCCCAGAAGAGCCAATTCTGCGTTCCTGAGGTTAAATATTTAGGGTTCATGGTAAATAAAGATGGGCTTTCTATCGATAGAGAAACGATCAGTCCGATCATGGACTATCCACAACCAAAAACCCTTCGTCAACTCCGTAGATTCATCGGTGCCACTTCTTGGTACCGACGATTCATTCATGACTATGCCAGAATATGCGAGCTGCTAACTCGTCTGCTTAGAAAAGGTCAGTCTTTCAATTGGACCTCCGAGCAACAAAACGCGTTTCAATCTTTAAAGAATGCTCTAACTTCAGCCCCTATCTTAGGTTATCCGGATTTTGGTATTCCATTCTGCCTCCAGACGGATGCTAGCGATTACGGTCTTGGCGTAGTAGTAACACAAGTCCAAGAAGACAAAGAACGAGTGATAGCCTATGCCAGTCGTGTTCTCTCTAAAGCAGAACGTAATTATTCTGTAACAGAGAAAGAATGTCTGGCGGTCATTTGGGCTATTAAAAAGTTCAGGTGCTATTTGGAAGGTTACCACTTCAAAGTGATAACCGACCATAGTTGTCTTAGGTGGCTCAATAATCTCCGCAACCCGACCGGTCGACTGGCTCGCTGGTCACTCGAATTGCTAGAATACGACTATGAGATCCTTCATAGAAAAGGATCCATGCATCAAGTCCCCGACGCATTGTCTCGCGCATTCGAACCGGTGACTGATGACAAAATCGCGACAATTGAACTGACTGACGATGACTGGTATAATAAACGTAAAGAAAATGTAATTAATGACCCACGTAAATATCGCAACTGGAAAGTAACAGACGGAATTTTGTATTATTACCGTAGTAACCCCCTGTTGCAGGATTTGGTAGACGATTTAAACGCCTGGAAAATGGTGATCCCCGAAGGAGATCGCCTGAAAATTATGCGCGAAACACACGAAAATACACAAGCGGGCCATTTAGGCGGTCAAAAGACTTACGATCGTGCGTCGATTCAATATTATTGGCCAGGCATGCTTAAAGATATCGAAAACTTCGTGCGTAAATGTATTGTCTGCCAATTAAATAAAACAGAACAGGCAAAACCCCGCGGCCATATGACACAGCGCGTCGTTCATGAACCTTGGAGCGTCGTAGCGACTGACGTAATGGGACCGTTTCCCAAAAGCGCGAGAGGTTTCGAATACCTAATCGTTTATCAGGATCTGTTTACCAAGTGGGTTGAATTAGCCCTACTTAGATCAGCTAATGCCACGACAGTAATAAATTCATTTCGGGAACTGGTAATCAATCGCTGGGGTACTCCCCAAGTATTGCATTCGGACAGCGGTACCGAATACAATAATAACGCTATCAGGGATCTAACGACCGCCTATCATATCCACCACTCATTTAACCCATTATACCACCCACAGGCCAATCCGGTGGAGAGGACAAATCGAGTCCTCAAAACTATGATTCGCTCTTTTATCCAAAATAACCATCGTCATTGGGACGTTTACATCGGTGATTTTCGCTTCGCCTATAACACGGCACTTCATAGTACTAATCGAGTCACCCCTGCCTTCCTTAACATGGGAAGAGAACCGGCCCCTTTAAAGTCTTTCCGTCGGCTTGTGGAAGGGGGAAACGAGTTGCCACTTCCGGATAACAATGAGTGGACAACTCGAATGACGAGACTGAACGATCTAAGAGAAAAAATTACCCAAAACCAAGATAAAGCTTTCCTCCGCCAGGCCAAATATTATAACCGACACTTCCGTGACCAGCGTTTCGGAATTGGTGACCTGGTGAAGAAGCCACTTCACGTACTCTCCAGTAGGCGCGATAATATCGCGAGCAAATTGGCCCCTTCTTTCCACGGGCCGTTCATGATAATTAAAGTTGTCTCTCCTAACATTTATGAATTGTCGTCACTCGAGGGTCGTTTAGCGGGTAGATACCACGTGTCGCATTTGCAACCGTATCATGCGGAAGATGTTAGTAGTGAGTCGGAAAATTCGGATGAAGATCGAGCCCTGGATCGTGAATTGTTGGAAATAGATCGGCCGGAATCGGATTCGGATTCGGAGAACCAGAGCGTCCATGATGTAATTGAGCAACCGCGGTTCCCCTCGCTATCGGAGAATCCGTCTCGTCGTCGAAAATTGCGTAATCGTTCATATTCCATTTAATCTTGATAGATTCTTGTTAATAGTGAAGGATTCTGTAAATAGGAAAAATAAATTTAAAAAAAATATATATAATAATAATAAAAATAATAATAATTTGTTGAAATATTAATTCGAATTAGTTAAACTCCAAGTTACTTAGGCTGAGTTTAGACTTTTCTTCTCTTTCAGTGGATCGAATTCTTTCTTCGGCTAGATGCTTGGAGGAACCAGAGGTGGATAATTTGGTGTGCGCTCGACATCTATTTCTGAATGGAAGGTTCCCATCCCAGGAGTCCTTATTCACGGAGGACGATATAGACAAAATTAGACGCAGTATCGCTTCATCTCCTCACCTTCGTCTCACAGATGAGGAAGAAAAACTCTTGCCTCGTCCTGAAGATCCGCAAGTCGAGATTCCTGGATTAGTCTACCAACCTATTTGTGAGCCTGTCGAGGCGGGACCTTCGCGTCCTCAGTTTCCCCCGAACCATTGGGTTCTCGAAATGAAGAAACAAATCGCTTCTAGAGCCAAAACGCCGAGTTACTGGGGCAAAACAAAGGCCCGCAGAGGAAAATGCGGCAAGTGCCTTCAAACTGGTCACGCATATCATGAGTGCCCTCTCCATAAGCGCAATCAATAACCTTAAAAACGAACATGTTAAGATTTCATTCAATGTAACCCTTGTGAGGTAGGGTTAATAACCTCACCTTAGGAATAAACAACCATTGAAAATAACTATATCCACAACTGATTTAACTCTCTTCACTAATGAATCTCTGTTCTAAATATAAATTTTAACCAATTTCAGGTCGAATACACTTGTTTATTTCAATGAAGGTTTAAAAAAAAAAAAAAAAAAAAAAAAAAAAATATATATAAAAATATAAAAAGGTGAAAAATTTTGTTGTTTGATTATTTTGATAGAAATATAAATTCACTTAATTAAGATATTCATTTGGAATGGTTCATCAAATATTTTATTTTCAAACATGGACTATTGTGGAATGGAACTAAAATCAATTATTCAAACAAATTAAATGAAAATTCGACTTGAGCATTGATTTGACGAGGAGCAGCTCTAATTGAAGTTGGGGAATTCATCTTCTCGACCCCTTAGGCCGGAGCTTAGCAGGGGGGAGTTGTGACACGGCTATTTTAGCCGTACACAAAATAATAACTTAGTTAATAGATTAAAAAGAAAAATAACACCAGAACGGGAATCGAACCGTTTGGTTCCCTTTTATTTTATTTTATTTATTATTAATTTTGTAAAAATAAACACTGATAATTACCTAAATTTCATTACTTCGACAAATTAATAAATATACTATCATTTATCTGAGAACTCGTCAAATCAACGTTCAAAATAAATATATTAACCTCGGTAATTAATTGTTCGTATTTTTCTATTCTTGCTTCTGATCGCGAGAGTTAGACTCTCGCCTCTCGTTGACTCCCCATCCATCGTCACGGAAAGACGTTATCTGAAGTCGTCGTGGGAAGCGCTTTCTGGCATATATAATCGGAAGAGATTCCCGATTATCCAAGAGTGCCAGGAAGACGAATTCTACATTTGAGAAGATTCACCTGTCAAAACAACGGGTGCGGCCATATTGGATCGGTGGCGCTTATGTTAATTTGTGCGCAGCGCTCATGTGGCGCCGCGTGTAACCAATTACCGACGGTGGAATGACTGTATCGACGAGTGATAATTAACCAACGAAATTTAGCATAGTAACTCCACTGGAACTCACCGTTGAAAATAAGAAAACGAAGCGCGGAAGTTGCGACGCGTTCGTAGCTTGCGAGTCGGCCATTTTTGTAAATTCATTCTCGTTCTGGCTGTCATAAAGTTTACGTCACGACCGTGACTTTTTGCTAAAATATAAAAAAACTAACAGTAGTTGTGCTGACGATGAGTCGGGGAACCATCCGAGGGAGACGTCGACTTGACGGTGAGTCCCCTGTGTATTAAAATCGGCTGTTCCTCGGTCAGTCTCGAGTAAAATTCATAAATAATAATATTGAAAATTCGACTCTTGTTTAGGCGGCTTGCCGCCGACTAATGTTCGCAATTTGTGGTTGATTAAATAAAATAATCCTTGTCAATTTTGTTAATTTGGTGTTGTTCAGTGATCATCCTTACTTCCCCCCTCTCCGCGGTTATGGATAATTTAATTAATGAGCAGTCGGTTTAGTAAAGAAAATCTTTAGGTTTGGTCATTCCATGTCAAAATGACCTGGCGCCTTGGACATAAACCACACTTCATGAATAATAAAAATTGTTAACAGGCTTTCGAGTAATTTAACTTACTCTATTTATTTCCAAAAGGAATGAAATAATTCCAATTTAATTATTAATTCGATCAAAATTTAAAATTAATTCAAATATCAAAATAAACCCTGTTACAGTAGATATGTATACATAAATATATATGCATAATTGTATACATGAATATAATTACCTCTAATAAATATACCTAAGCACATAGGCTAGTTTAGTCTCTATTTACGATTAAAGATTATCATTTAGTTTCAAAAATGATAGCTAACCTACAATGTCTCAGTATTAATTAAATATTATAATTAAATATTTAAGAAAAACAATTTTTTAACATTTGCTAACGTAAATACAACAGAACTCTATACTACTTATCTGAATATACATATTGGATATACGTAACCCAGTGGGCATATTTGTTCAGAAGACGTTCCAATTATGTCTTTTTACGGACGTCCCGGTGTCCCCTGGGAAGTTTAAGAAAATTTTTTTTTTTATTAAATTTTTTTTATTAAATTTTTTTTTTATTATCATAATACTAATTTTCTTAATAAAACTAAGAGTAATACACGTAGTGATATTCGTTTTGGTCGGTTATTGACTAAACTTAGTTAAGCAACTATTAAAAACAGAAAGTTATTATCCTAAAGTTATAACAGTTAATTTAATATATTATAGTAGGGTAAACTATTTTATCAGTTATATAAATATATTAAATGTTGAAGAATATTAATATTTCACTAAATAATAGTATTCAATTTTTTCATTAATAAAATAATTAGATTAACTAATGACTTAACTAACTGTATCTTTATTTACAAACTAAACCATTAAAATTTATTTTAAATGAATAAAATATTAATTAAACAAAATTTAAAAAAAATAAATAAATCTAAGAAAAACTAAAAATCGAAGAAAAACTGAATACATTTAACCATAATATATATTGTACTTATTCAATTTTTTATTTAATAACATTTAGATACTAGTTACTTATTATTATAAAAGAAAATTATTCTTCAAAGCTTAGATATGTAGTAAGATTATAATTTTTTTATTATTTAAATATAACATAATATTGTAATTTAATTACACTAACTGAATTTACCTAAAGTACATTACAGGTCTAGTAATATACGATATATACATATAAGGCATTTTAAGTTATAATACAGCTCGAATACATATAGTTACAAAATAGATTTATAAGTTTAAAATAAGTTGAAATCTAAAATTGACTACATTAGAATAAAATCGATATTCTGACACATGTTAGTTATATTAAATTAAGAACAGCTTGCAATCTTTTGAAATAAAGGTGTACATATTGCTTGAAATAAGGACAGATTCAAAAAAAGTTTATTTTGCTATCGGAGAGCATCGAATTTCGGAAGATGTTTAAAACAACCTAACATTTAGTTATTGCAATTAATAAGTATGGCAAGTAGGTAATAATATCTCTGTAAATAATTTTGTCCATTAAAAAGAGAACTTACAGGAAACAACATTGCCTTAGTCTTTTCCTTTTTCTTAATAATTAACCTTTTCTTTTAAGATGGAGTTTTCGTAATCGACGTCACCTTTTGTCTAAGGTGAATATTAGATTTACCGAATACTTTCTCCATACCAGCTGTATCCTTGAAATCAACCTTGCTGATAAAGCATGGTGTATCATATGATACAGCATAGTAGCGCTTATCTCAACTACTGATACATACCAGCACAAGAATCGTTTCTCTTTTTTTTTGAATATTAAATAATTTAATGGATTTCTAATTAATGATAACTTGTTATTTTAATTTATTATAAGTTGTGTTTTGTCAATTATATAATTAGGCAAAAGAAAACAATTTTTTTTAATTAAAATAATTTCCTTTTTTTTAGAATAATAGAAGAAAGAATAACAATAAAATAAGGATAATTTTAGTGGTTAATTAAATTATTTAAATCAATCATCTTCAATATTGTTAATTTTTTAATTAACAATATTGTTAACAAATAATTATTGATTATCAGGGACCATAACCGAAACCAAACAAAATTTAAATTAGATTTTGCCTTTCTTTAATCATATAAAAGTGCGAATTTAAAACACTCAAATTTCATCTTTGAGATGGTAGCAAATTATCACATTTAATTTCATTTTTTTTAAACTTGAAAATCTGAATGAATTTTCGGTGCTAGCATCTCAAAAGGTCAGGGACTAAACATTTTACATTTCTATTTCACTTACAAAATTGTCATTACTATCAAAATTAAAAAAACATTAAGTATAAAAATCTTGATAAATTTAACTTTTTTTAGAATAAAATTCATTCCTTTAAATTAAACATGTATCATTTAAACAACTCCTTTTTTCAAGCTTACTAACTTTTTCAACTAAATAACCCGAAATAAATCTTACTTCAAACAAAAAAAAATTTTAAATGTTATAATATATTTAACACATTTGCTTTTCAAATTGAATAGATTATTATTTTTTTTAAATAATAAAATTATAAGCTATTTTTAAAACAATAATTTTTTAAAATTACATACTAGTAACAAAAATAATGTAATAATTTTTATTGCACTTCTTTTTTTATGCCAAATGTTTTCATGAAATGGAATCTTCTTTTAATGTTATTTTACATAAACCAAAATTTGTTAAAAATCGAAAACAAAACATAATCAATTTTTATTTGTTTAATAAAAAAACATAAATAATCGAAACGAAAATTTTTTTGCGGTCCCTGTTTGTTATCAATAATATTTATTATAATAATTAAAATTTAACGATCATTACGAGTCAATAATTAAAAAAAAACACATTGGTTTTTACGTTTTACGTTTCAGCAGCGCTGCTGCCCTCTTCAGAAACTATTATTTATTTGACAGAAAAAAAATTAATTAAAATACATTAATAAAAAATTACATTATTAACATTATAAGATAAAATTATTTACAAACATATTAGTAAAATTATTACCGATTGCAAAAATATTTAAATTGTTTGAAGAGTCTTATAGGAGACGTCCTCGCCGTGGCGATTACAATTAGACACTGATGAATGAAATATATACAATTTTCGTAGTATACTCTATCGGCACAAGGTGAATGACCGTGTTAGCGAAAAGAAAACAAAATAAAGCAAACACAGGAAATGTCAAGGAAAGTTAAAACAGATTAGAAGATTGTGAATATTTCATTTCATTAAGAAAGTGATTATAAGTATTATTAAGATTTTGTACATCATCCTTTTTATTAACTGGTTTTTTTTTGTAAATTAATATAGATCATTTCTGATATTAATCTTCTATTGTAATTGTTTTCCTTATCTAGTATTGAAAAACCGTCCCAATCAAAATCGTGTTTGAAAAAATGATTGTGTGTAGCAATCACATTGGACTTAGATTTTTTATGTTCATTGATACGAACACCCACCATTCTCTTTGACTGCCCAACATAAGATGCAAAACAATTTTTACAATTGATTTTATAAACCGTATTAGTAATTTCAGATTTTTTATTTATAT